TATGCTTGCAGTGATCCCATATCTTGGATCATTCACTGTTATATTTTTTGTTTACTGAGGTGTTTTTTGCTTATTTAGGTTTTTGTTGTTGTTGTTTGTTTTCTTGTTGTTAGTCCCAAATAAGTCTGCTTCTAAGTCAAATTATCCCAAAATGGGAAGCTTTGTTTTCAGTCAGGTTGTGGCAGTTTAATGAGGTTTGTTTGGGTTTTAATTATAACTAATACTCTCTTTAACCACAAAGAGTCTTACTGTATTGCAGCTGTCAACAACAGCACACATGATTACAGCTCTGAGGAAGAAACAGAAAATCAGATGGGGATTTGCTAAAAATCAGGCAGGTGTAATTTATCTTGAAGTATTCTACTACTGTACAGCTATTATTTCTAACTTCTGTTACCAGCACTCACAAATCATTACCAGCTCTTTAAACAAAGGAATTACCTTCTAAAAACAGAAGAGGCATAATATTTTTCCCTGAAGTTATTCACCTGTATTTCAAGATGTTTATATAGTGTATATAAAACAGAAAGACAGAGTAATACACTGTACTTTTGCAATGTAAATAGAAAAGACATATATGCCAATATGAACTACCAAGAAAATCAGTATTAAACTATTTTTTTCCTGCTTAATTCTGAGAAATAAAAGACTTTGTTTCTTAAAAAAAAAAAAAAAAAATCACACATTTACTTGTGGGTGCAGTGTTCAAGATGCTATAAATAATTCCTGCAACTCCTATCAAGTAATTGCATGTCAGTAACTGAAGAAGGGAGAGAAGTCTGAAGCACTGGTCACAAACAAGTGCCAACTGGGTGTACTCCAGGAACAAGGCACTCAGCAACTCCGATGACCAGAAATGAAGGAAGGCCACAAATCACTGTGAAACAGTGCATAAGCAAAAAGCAGAATCTCTTTTTTTTCATTTTCTTTTTTCTTTTTTTTTTTTTTTTTTTCCTTTTACCATTAAAGAACCAGTCACACACGGGATATGAGTGAGAGAAAAAGAGTAATCATTACTTTCCATTGAGTATGCAGAGATGACTACACAAACAGGGCAGAGATAAATGACAACTCTAACAAAATTTGTAACACTCTGGAAGTAGAAATCTTCAGCTGCTGTTGGGATTGCAGTGATTCAGATTATCCTGCCTCAACAATTCAGAGTTTTAGCATTAATTTTTAATGCAATTAATCTGCTCTCCATTACACATTTTTTATTTTTGCTTTTGACTTGCTTGCAATACTAGGCATATGACATGCAAACTGCTCTGCTTCCAGCTGGCATGCTGCAGTGATACGCATACATAGTGGGCACCTTACTGCAGTAAGCTTACTAGCTTACAGGCAGGACAGTCTTACAAGTAATAATATCATTCTCAAAGACCTATCTAAACAGAAATGTTTTGCACTTCACTGAAGCTGCCAAAAGAAACAAGTCATGCTGAGTTAAAGGTTTCATAAAGCCAAGAATTCCTTCTTTTTTCAAATCAATAACCACATGCAACTGTTACAGTTTCTGCTTTACTGGTTTACAAAAGTACAAGTGATAACACTGGGAAGTAGGATGACTGAAATCTATAAAGCAACTGATGGTCACCTATGGTGTAAAAAAAAAAAAACTCATCAAAATATACATCCCAAACAAACCACGAGTTCTGTGAAGAAGAAAAAAAGAAGCCTCAGCAATTGTTACTGCAGATCTGCAATAGAAAACTTAAGAAACCCTAACTTAAAGATCTCTTTCTCCTCTTCAAATACACTGTGTAAAAAATGTGCGAAATCTAAATTTATTCACACAACAAATGTTTTTTGATAAGTCTTCAGGAGGACCCCTGGGTCATCTAGCACATCCCTTCAAATGTGTTCAGGAAAGATGGCAGCACTAAGCTACCCAACCGTTTTATTTAGCGTGCTCTGGAATGCCCTGAAGGACAATGCCTTGCTGACCTCTTGCCAACCACTCACTATGTCTAATTGACCTCCCTGGGAGAAAACTTGCCTTGTTTAGCTTCAGGTCATAACTTCCTGTTAGACTACCCATCATCACCTCAAATAATTCCTCCTCCTCCTCCTCCTCTCATGTTTCTTCTCAAATATGTCAGTTATACTCCCGTAGGCAGGCTGTATATACTGTGCTCCCGAGACCTGTCTTCATAGGTCATGCTCTCCTATCCTTTTATCATTCTTGACACCAATCTTTGAACTGTTTTCATGTCTCCATATACTGCAGAGCTCTTAATGATAAAAGCAATCCCTACAATGTACTTCTAGTTACAACCAAAAAAACATATCCATTGGCAAGTGGAAGAGTCAAGGCAGTACCCAGCTGCCTCTATAGGCTGGTCTTACAGAAGGGAGCCTTCTGAACCTCACATTCTGGCATAGGGGCCAAAGACAGTAACAGCCGTGTGTTCCTCCCTCCATCTCTCACTGAATTTTCCTCTTTTCTTTCTATGTATTTCCTTGTGAGGAAATAACATAATCTGGTCTTCAAAAAAATAATAATTCACCACTGCTCTTACATGCTCACTTGTAGGTGAGAATGGTTTTGCATGCAAACTGAACAGTGGCACCAGCACACGAAGGACTCCTGCAGGTGGAGCCAGAAGCAAGTTTTCGGTTTTTTTTCCTCTCTTCCTCCCTTCTCTCAGACTCTCAGCAATTCAGTAGCTTAATAACCAATGTTTAAAACCTATGAAATTGTCAGTAATCTCTGCTGCAGTAAGGCTGACACATCACAGAATCTGGCACTGAGAATACAAAGCCAGAAAAATAAAAACAATGTTTAAACGAAAACCAAGAGAGAAAATCCTAAAATTGAGTTCTTCTGTGCTTTCGAAAGGCTTTCATATACGAGATTTCAGAGTCCTCTAACTCTATATCTCATCTGAAATTAGATGGAATCTCTCTTGCCCACCCAAGAGATGATAAGCAGGACTAAAACATGGATCCATATTTTTAGAGGGAAAAATGTATCACTTTCAATATCAAACAAGCAAAATAAATCTTGTGCCTGCTTCACATGACTGATGGGGATGACTTCTGCTTAGAAAAAATTGTTACAATGATTCATGTCAGGGTTCATAATCCAGACAGTCTGAGAATGTCTCTTATTATTATGCATTCCACAAGAGAGTCTGTATTAAACACTTGAAAAATAAAATAAAAATCAAGATTTATCATTTAACCAACAGATTTTAAACAAAACTGGCTGAAGTTTTTCTGAGACACTTTTCCTCAACTACAAAATATCAACTAATCTCAATAAGTAATCTCTGCTACATACAGAATTTATGTTGCCAGAAATTGTACATGGGATCACAAAGTAGCTGAGGCTGGCAGGACCCTCTGGGTCCATCAGGCCAACCCTGGCTCCATCAGAGACATATAATCAGCAGCTCTTACTGCCTATGTCCAGCTGCCAGTAGTGAGGGATTCTTCCCTACCTCTTTTGAGAGCTCCTGTCAAAGATTTACATTTTCTTTTATAAAGCTTTTCTGAATCAATCAAGATTCAATATAGGAAGATTGCCAAATAAATTACTTCTCATTTCTACCTACAGTTGAACTCCTGTAGGGATCTGGAAATATATCAAGATCATTAGCCTTAATGCCTATAATAGACACTGCTTTAAGGTGAAGTGAGTAGTAAAACAGTTTAATACATTAGCCCCTACACTCTGGAGACTTGCAGAGTCCTGGCCAGGCTTGCTTCCTGATAACATTTGCACGAGTCTGGGATACTGAAAGGCAACAGACCCTCTTGCTGGTGCACATCATAATAAAACGCACATGACAATTTCTTTTCAATACCTGGCTTGGAAATTTTGTGAGGATCCCCTGGAAAACCAATTTCACCTATCTTTGCTGGAGGTCTACTGTGAAGCACATAACACTGCTGACTGAGCTGTGCAAGCTAACTCTGCATCTAAGACATGAACTCCCTTGTTCCCTGACTGAAAATCCTTCTGCATGCACAAACACATCTGAAATCTGTCCCTGTGCTTAGTCCTGCTGAAGCTACTCCTTTGCCATGTCTATATATGATAAAATTAACTCCATTAGTTTTAAAATTACCATTGAACATAAATATGGAGGATTTACTTATGCTGCTATCTTAAAAAAAAAAAAAAAAAAGCCCTAATGAGCTAACTTGATTTTTAAAAAAAAATTCATTACTTTTTAAGTTTAGCAGACTATGATGTGGCAGAAGTAATAATTAGAAATAGGTCACATCTATATTTTAATTTCTTGGTTCAGCCTTATCCCTGGTTGGCTAAAAAAAAAAAAAAAAGCCCAATTCTTCACTAATGAACATACGTAAAAGTTAGGCTGAGGATCCAACTCATATTCTCAAATCTGACATATAAAAAGCTCTGCAAAATAATCCATTATTTAATAATTTAAAGACCAGATAAAACTAATTAGTGCCAAAAATTAGCCCTTAGCACAACATTAATTATGAGTTTGCCCAACAGCCACAACCCTGTCCTAATGAGCATTAATGACTCCAAGAAATCATCAAGAAAAAGGCAAATATACAATTCCTATTTTGTACTTGATAAAACACTGTGATTCAGATGCCAAACATCAGTAATGCACACTTTTACAACAAGTCTGGAGATTTCCAGAGATTATACTCCCAAACATGTTATGTTTCATTTCTAATATACCACAGCAGATTTTCAAGTCACTTCAAACAGTGTTGAAATCCAAGTACTGGTATGAAAGACAACCAAAAAAAAGAATAATTTCCCCACTGAACGGTGTTTTATATTGAAAGTGCCCATCTGGCCACCACCACCCCATTTGCATTTTCTGCAAAGTTTGCATTAAATGAAGTACATTACATTTTTACACTCTGAAACTGATCTGACAAAGAACATTCAATGCTTACCAACCATCCCTGTCAAAATCTACCACTTCCAAAAACCCAGCTAGGTATCACATAAGTCATCATATACATTCTTGAAATCTTGATAAAAATAATTGTTCACTGACCTCATTAATAAAAGTCTGGGCTCCTCGTGGGCTTAGAAGTAAGATAGCCCTTCGTAATGTGTCCCGATAGCGGTTCAGCTCTTCTGTTTTCATTGTAGTGAAAAGGTTGGCAAAGACTCTGCTGATGTTCCTGTCCACTTTTTGTAATGACACATCAAGTCCCAGCCTGGAGGCCTGATCAAGAAATCCCTGCAGTCCGCGTATATCTGTAACACAGGAGCAAAATAAAAAAAAAAGAAAAGAAAAAGACCGCTGCATCAACCTCTGCCAAGCATCACTAGGCAAGCATCACTAATTAGGTGGAAAAATACTCTTTTTTTCCTGCAGTGCTGTCAGGATATCATTGCACACAGCCTCACAGGTCTAGAGCAGCTATTGCCCATAGCTCCCTTTCATAGGTAATGGCAGCAGGGAAAACCCATCAATTCCATTACCTGGAGGTTTCTGAAGCACTCTTTGAAAGAGCAGAACACATGGCTGCATGGCTGTGGATACCTCCCTTCAGCAGTTCAAGGACACAGGGCTGAACCCTGCTGAGAGACAGTCCCACCCCAAGCAAACCACAGCTCAAATGCAGAAAGCCAACAGGAGATGGCAAAGCAGGGGGATAAAGATCTCACCTCTAAGCCTCCCTCCTTCTTGTTCAACTTGACTAATGTAATATCATGCATGCTTTTTTCTTAAAAAAATTAAGATGTGCAGTGTATATACAGCCCTCCTTTTTTCTTCCCCTTCTACAAATCTATGAAACAGTACACAAAGCTCCAAAGTGTTAGGATATATTAAACTGTAAAAAATATAGCATTTCAACATGGGAAATTATGCAAACAGATCCTTCAAAAACTGTTCATTTGAGCTCTGCCCCTCAACTTCAAGCTGATTGAACAAAATAAGTTTTGCTAACCCAATTTGTTAGGACATTAACATGGAAGAACACATTTCATTATACTTTTATGCTGAAAACTGCTGGTTCGAACTGTACTCTGTCTTCATGACAATCAGCATTTTTCAATAATAAATGTCTGAGTTTTTATTTTATGGAGAAATTTCAAGCAAGGAAAAGGTCAAAGCTTATATCGAACCAGGTTGCTCTCATTATTAATAGTGACCTGACAGCAGCTGTATCATGTCATAAGGAGCCCTTAATTTTATTTCAAACATATATAGCTTGTTTTGATAAGAAGGTATTTTTAACTCTCCTCACATTCGCTTCTCACACTTTTATTATGAAAGTTCCTGGGTGAGACTGTACAGTGTAAGTTAGAGTAAACATCCAAATATGTAGCCTTTTTAAAGCAAGAAGAACAGAACATTTGGGACAAATAGTTTAATGGAAGGCAGCACTGCTGCTTCGTTAAATTGCAGGGGTTGCCCACTGTAACTGTAACAATTTTTATCTCAAGTACGTGAAGAAACTGGAAATATGCTGACTGATGTGACCCACAGAACCTCGAAATACAAATGCAGCCATAGCTGTTGTAGCCAATGGACAGGCCCAGGGAGGATGCCTCCATCAGGGAGTCTCACCCCAAGCCTTTCATACACAGCAAACATCTCCATTCCCTCGACTACCCCTGGACACAGAACCAGGCAGCTGGCAAAGAGGAGTGGGCATCATCTTTTTTCTTTGTACCCAGACACAGCTCTCCTGAGCAGGGTGGGTGCTGGGGCAGAAATGGGAGAGAGCCAGGTTCTACTCTTCCCTTCAAGCTCAATTTCATTAACTCACTACCCCACCATCCTCAGCACATCAGAGAGATATTTACTGCTCTCTCTTCAGAAAACTTTATTACAGCACTAATGATCTCTGTATCTATAAACTAGATTGTAAAACCTGTTTCTGTTTGTTTAATTCTGAAAATAAGAATGTTCTCTCTGATAAAATTTTTATTATCAATACCACAAGGCACCAGTGAAGAGAAGGGATCAAAATCCAACCTTATTCCTTGTTGTCTCATATGAATAGGCTCTTAGATCACTACCAATCTTGGTGTGACATGATCATGAAATACATAGATGAGCTTCTTTTATCTTTCCCCACAAGTGTTGTATGAGACATAACAAAAGTAACATCTTGCCAGATTGCACAAGCTGAAGGTCTTAAGTCCAACATCAATTAAGTTAAGTAGTAAATACTAGTCCAAAAGTAAGACACTGAAAGTTACCTCCAGTATATTCACACTTCTATCTAAACATGGAAATGATCATTAATGTGATTCACTCAGATTCAGGAAAGAGTCACAATTACGGGGAAGCTTCAGAAAAGAACAGAAATGAAGCTAGTAATGTGATGACCACAGTAGACTTAACTTGGACAAAGTCGCTGAGATGATGCCTTCAGCCAAGCCCATGCTCAGCATGGTGCCCTCATGGGGTTCTGCTGGTGACACAGGCAAGCCCACAGCAGCTCTGCCACACACAGGTTATTTGCTAGGCATGCTCAGTCTCCAAAATCCTGAGTCACTGAAGAAAGGATGGATTGGAATTTGCCAGAGGAAATCAGCACTCGTATAACTGCTAAATATTGCAGGTTGCTGAAATAATGACAGTGACAAACAACTGTTGTCTACAGGTTAAAGTATTTTATTAACGTTGTCAAGCCAAGTTTGGATTTTACTAATTTAAATTCAATAAACTTGTGTTCGTTCCTATACATATGCTCACTTAATGGGTCTGTGATACTAGAAAACTATTTTTTTAATGCTGTTTAGTCTTTCAAGAATGACTTGAATGACTAGTACTTGACAAACAGTAACTAAATATGTTTACAAAATACATAGCTTACTAACAACCCAATGCCTGTGTAAGCATCTGAAGTCATCATTGCACAAAGAAAGCTTGTTTACCAAAAACTGGCCATGCTGATATTGCTCTAAGTTTTTCTGCTTTATGTTATGACCCTCCAAATCACTGGTTAGAAAAACTGCTGTAGACCAGCATAAAATCCTTGATGTATACGGTAAGACAATTTGGACTTGGAAGAGCAATTTGTATTCTCTCACAGTATTTTGTATTCCCTCACAAATTTTTTTTTTTCCAAAGCAAAATAGCCTACTTCCCAATTTAAAAAAAAAAGGGAAGGACTCATATTTTTTCCAGCTTGACAACAAAGCAAACTCTGAGATGTAAGAAACTGTCCAAGCTCAAGTGTACAAACACAATCTGTCAGTTTTTCACAGATATAAATGAATGTGAATTTATTCAGTGTTGGCAATTAGAAAGAACTGCATGACTATATCTTCCTCAATGCTGACATGCCTGTTCCTACACGACACGGGAGGAGGAGAAGGCTTGGTGGGAACTCAGAAGTGGAAGTGGGAATTGAAGAGCAATTTGCAGGGGTGACTAACCAATTTAGCTGCCTGACTAATGGGACCTTTCTTCTCAAATAATTATTTGCTATTGTTACCAAGAGGACAATCAATTCTTAAAACGTATGAGTACAGAAACACAAACACATGCACATATGCAGGAGCATCTGCTCATAAATCATAATGAATTAAGCTCAGCTTTATTTTGTCTGACATATCACATAAGAAAATAACTTGATCTTCCCTTTTTTTTTCTACATTTAGTAGATAACAAATCCATTCAATGTAAAATAAAACCAGATCTTTGTTCCATGGTAGTTCAAACAAATACTAACAGAAATTCAATTGTGAATTTATTCCTATAAATGCATTTGTTAAGTGCATGTACTTTGTCTCCTGTAGTCTTAACAGTGACTCTTTATGTTTTATTAATGCTTAAATTCTAACATGAGAATTATCCTGAACTACTAATAATAATTCCTCATGCCCAATCATTTCATACTTCATAGGAAAAGCACAGCAATCTAAACTCAACAATTGTTAAACACAAAGAAAACAACAGTTTGCTGTATCTACACAACCCACACCCATCTCTGCCTTTAGCAGTTACTTTACCTCAGGGCGTAGCCTATACTCAACCACAGAAGTCACTCTGTGTGATTTTAATCATCTCACTGCCCATGTATATCCAGCACATTTAACACGGCAAGCAGGACTTCAGAGACAACATCTGAAATTCATTCTTTAGCAAGTATCAACTTCTTGGCAGTGATGCAACATCTCCACTCAAAAAGGAAATTGACACTACGCACAAAAAGATGAACCTCTTTCATAAAATGTATCTGTAAAACCCTATAATAATTGGATATGTTTGAAGCACTCAAGTGTTAAATAGAGCCACGTGAAATTAGCAGGTTGTAACTGGAACTAACTCAGAATTACGTCCTTCCATTTACATCTGGCTTGGGAGATGGCTGTAGCTGAGAGCCCTTTTCTTAACTCTGACAGATATGCTCTGCATTCAGATTTGACAACAGAAGATCGAGAGGATACATTTTTTTTTACTATGACTGCAAAACAAGGGCAAGCTATAAAAAAGGGGGATTTATTGGACTATAAGATAAAATCATTTACTGCTTAAGATTATGTTGATCACTGCACTGTTTATTGGAAGACATCTCTAAAAGCATAGCACTGTATGTGGCATTAGCTTCCATTAGGTGAAGCTTCTTGTCATTTACAAAGCAATCCATTTTTATTGCATTACCTGCAATCTTGATTACAGAAAAAAAAAAAATATTGGATAGTCTATGATAACATTTGCTGTCATTAAATTGTAGTATCTGATTCTTGGCCTTGACACAAACAGCGTAAAGCTAACACTTTTGTATGAAACAGCTGTACAATTGGGCACAACTGGCCTCTAAGGATGGCTCATGGCAGAAAGGAATTTCCAGGAGGTAGAGAGCAGTATATTGTCCTTTCAACATCAGTTCCTTAACCCCAGTCGACATAAAAAGAAGCAGCACATGACCAGGAAATGTGCCACCTTGGACAGAAAAAAGCTGGAAGGAAACAAGCTGGTGCTGAAGGCTAGGCTGGAGAAGCTCCAAGAAATAATTTCACACTCTTTCACTCTTATCCATCAGCACATAAATTTTAGGAGCACTGAAGTATCATCACCAAGCTGTATTATCGAATAACCCACACCAGTCTTTTCACTTGTACATTTGTAAAAGAGAAAAGTAAATAAGTGTGAAAAACAATGAGATGAGGCAGAAAAGGCTGAGCTTTTGAGTTCCCATTTGCTTGAATGTAGGCTCTACACTTCACACTTCTGCATTCTATTTATTTGAGCATAATTTTGGTGATATTTTTCAGCAGTAACAAGTGTG